GCTATTATTAAAGCGCTTAATAAGTTTCGAGTTTATTTACTTGGAATATCATTTAAAATCGTTACCGACTGTTCGCGCGTTCGTGGCTACGATGAACAAGAAGGAACTAAGCGTCCGAATAGTCCGATAGGCTTTACTCTTGGAGAAGTTCAATTATACGATAGAGCATCGTCCCGGTAAGAGTATGGCACACGTGGATGCCCTAAGTCATCCGTTACCGATGCATATTGATAAAAGTTCGTGAAAGTGATTTATTAGCGCGGTTAGAAAAGGCTCAACAAGACGATTTCGATGTTAAAAGAATTTTTGATCTCGTTAAAACGCAAAAAGTTGATGGATATGTAATAAGAGGCAATGTACTTTTTAAGGAAGCGAGCGATGATTTGCGAGTTGTATCCGCCTCACTTAGGTGTCAAGTTATTCGACGGGCACACGAGAGAGGACATTTTTTGATCATTTTTGGAAATCCTCGTCGTATAATTTCAGACCGAGGCATCGCTTTTACTTCGCATGATTTTCAGAATTATTGTAAGGACGAAAGTATTGAACATGCGCTTATCACGACCGGAGTTCCGAGAACGAACGGTCAAGCGAAGCGAGGTCCGTGGGAAACCTCCACCGCTGTTGATTATATTAAATCATGGGCGAACAACGTAGAAGATTCGTCAGACAATGAAGAGCCAGAAAACTTTCAGGACTGATGGATATCCAAGGCGGATATCAATGCAGCCGAGTGTAGGATGTTTGTTTTCGACGTGCTCGGTCGAGGCCGTTTATGTTGACTCATTTTTGTAAAGCGTGGCGTCGTGTGATACATCCAGCTCGCGCTCCGACCAAACATTAGCCGCGAAAATCGGCGATGTCACCCTGCGAGCTCAGTTCTGAGCGAAGAACCGAGAGAGTCTCGTCGAGACCTGTCCCGTGTTACGCGCATTAAATACAAGAACTTCAAGCATTCGATTACTTCAATCCCCGTCGAAGAATCAACGATCCTTTCATTCATCCATACATCCATCCTATCATACATATAATCCTACACATATACCACCTTGATTAAAAAGTTCCCGGAATTCATTCAGAAAATTCAAAATACAAGTTTATTCATCAAAAGTGATATTGTCCCCTTCAAAGTACTCCCCATCGACTGCAACGCACTTATGCCAGCGCTTGATCCAGCTCTCGAAACATTTCTGGAACTCTATTGTCGGTATAGCCATCAGAGCCGTCTTCGATTTTTCCATTACCTCCTTTCGGCTGTTAAAACGCGTTCTCCGTAGTGGTTTTTTGACTCGATTGAACAGAAAAAAATCGCAGAGAGCCATATCGGGTGAATTCGATGGCTGTTGGATGGTTTCGTTCTTGGTAAAAAATTCACGGATAATGATGGCACTGTACGACGGTACGTTATAATGGTGCAAAATCCATAAGTTGTTTGCCCACAAATCCTTTCTTTTTTGGCGAATTGCTTCACGCAAACGTCTCATAACGCCCAAATATTACTCCTTATTAACTGTCTGACCTTCTGGCAAAAATTCGTGATGTACAATACCGTTGTAATCCATGAAAACCGTGAGCATCACTTTCTTTTTCGACTGAAAACGACGTGATTTTTTTGGTCTTGGCTCATTTGGAGCTCTCCATTCACTCGCCTGATGTCTGGATTGCGTGTCATACTCATAAACCCACGTCTCGTCTCCAGTAATGATGCGTTTGATGAATGTTGGGTCGGATTCAGCCTTGGAAATCATGTCTTTGGCGATGTCAACGCGGTCCCTTTTTTGCATGAAATTCAGTTCCTTCGGGACCAACTTTGCAGCAACACGGCGCAAACCCAAATCATTAACTACAATGTCCTGAACGGATCCATAAGCAATGTTTAAGTCCTCTGCCAGCTCTCTGATAGTTAATTTGCGGTTATTGATCAACATTTCTCTCACTTTATTGATGTTTTCGTCGGTTTTCGATGTCGACGGCCTGCCACTGCGTTCGTCATCCTCGACGGATTCACGATCACTTCTGAAACGTTTATGCCACTCGTAAACGATTGTTTTTTTTAGAGCATCACTGCCGAAACAGTTTCCCAACATTTCCAAGATTTTCGCACCATTGAATCCATTTTTAACGCAAAATTTAATACAAACTCGTTGTTGCAAATTCAACTCCATTTTTAAAACTATAAAAAATCGAAAACACGTGCAGAGGTAGATGTACTCAACACGGCGTAACTTTTACAAATGTCAAGCTATGGCGATAAAATTTGGTGGAAATGTCAATGGTAGATGTGGCAACGTAACCAAAAAAACGAAATTCAAATCAGCTGACTCAGAGCATCACCTGGTGGTAATACCGGGAACTTTTTGATCAAGGTGGTATATATAAAAGTATTAAGGTAGTGGTATCAAAAAACCAATAGTTTACGAGATATTTTATACTTTATTCCGATACATATTGACATAAAATATTAAATAACTCGTAAACTATTAATTTTTTTATAATCGTACCTTAATACTTTTATGAACAGAATAATAAGATGAATCAATTGGTTTAAAGAATACACATAATTGCTTTAAAAAAATATGTGAGCAAAATGGATTTTTTAAATAAGCAACTATATCTTTGTTTCCACCAATTGATTCATCTCATTATTCTGTTCATAACAATATTAAAGTATGATTATAAAAAAAATTAATAGTTTACGAGTTATTTAATATTTTATGTCAATATAGATATGCCAAAATAAAGTATAAATACCTTATAAACTATTGGTTTTTTAATATCACTACCTTAATACTTTTATGTGCAGAATAATTAAAGGATTGCGTAAAAAAAATTATACAATTCCATTTAAAAAAGTAGAAGTGACCTTCATATATCTTTGGTGCCTCCACCTAAAAAAAAAACATGGTTAAAATACGTTCCTCTCTAAACCATGCAACTTTTGTCTGAAAAATTTTTCTATATATTCCATATTTTTCAAGATATTTGCCTGAGAAAATTAAAATGGGACACCTTGTATTACATATACAGGGTGTCCTGAATTTAAATATCTAAATTTCGGGAGCGTGTAGAGGATCGATAAACTAAAAAAAAAATCCTGTAGAGATATTCTCATTTTAGAGAAAACCGCAAAAAGAAGACGTAATTTTCATTTTTGTACTTTGTCATTACTTATTCACGTTGTATTTATTCACTTATTTAATGTAAATATTGTTCAAAATATTGGCCTCTTGCAATAATGCAAGCATTACATCTAGTACGGACAGCTCGTGTTGCAAACACTGATCTGATGATATTTGGTGCACTGTACTCTCGATTCGATTTCTAAATTGTTCTCTTGAGTTGACTGACAATGAATAAACTTCCTACTTCAGGACTTCCCCCCCACACATAAAGAAGTCCAGTGGTGTCAAATCAGATGATTGGGATGGCCAAGGTACTACTCCTCCACGTCCAATCTATCGTCGTGGATAATGTCTGTCTAGCCAAGCTCGAGTAGTTTTGCCATAATGAGCTGGACATCCATCGAGTTAAAACCACATTTCAATCCGTTGCAAGGTGGATGTCTTCTAATCAAAGAAATCAGTCTCCAAAAACTCAATATATCTGGCTGCATTTAATATATCGTGTAAAAAAAATGGTCCTACTAGAGAGTCGTTCCAAATTCCGAGCCAGACATTAACAGCAAATTCATCGAGATTTTCTACTTGCATATTTGCCCCTAACGGATCTTCATGAATTGAAAATGAGCGGTCTCTCAACCTATTAAAAGTCATTGTAATGACTCGCCGATCCGGCATTCTTCTGTTTGGAAATCGGCGTACATACTCTCGCACCGTCTCCATAGCATTACCGTCGCAGAAATCATACACGAAAACCATGTCAGCATATTCAACATTAGAGTATGTACGCGGCATATTATGACAGAAGTAATTCACTCAATAGCTTCTGACGAGTAACTGACGAATTTATAGGAAAAAGGCAGAAATGTAAACAAACAACAAAGTTATCACCTGAAAATGGAATTATTATTATTATTATTGTTTTCGTGCACGATTTCAGCGACGATAATACTTCAGAGGCAGTGTAGGAACGAAACAATTATGTTTTACCTTTTTTGCGACGATTTTCTCCAAAACAAAGAAAAAAACGAGCATATCTCTACAGAATTTTTTTTCTTAGTACGGAATCAATAGACGTTGCTCAAGATTCGAGATGGTCTTAAGCTAGTGCTTGAACCAATCGGAGAGCCGTATTAGCATCGACATTGCTTGAGATTAAAACCGGACTATGGAATCCTATACATGTTCCCGAAGTTTAGACATTTAAATTCGGGACACCGCGCGCGCGCGCGCGCGCGTGTGTGTGTGTGTGTGTGTGTGTGTGTGTGTGTGTGTGTGTGTGTGTGTGTGTGTGTAGGTCTTATATATTAAGAATGTGATTTAGTTTTGAGGTTTTTTCTCATTCAAAAACTGATTTATTTAAATAACATTACGTAAACGTTTAATAACTGTTGTACGATCAATATTTACTTCTCTGGCAAATTCTGAAGTGGATTGTGCTGGTTTTTCGTCCAATAATGCTTGCAAATCTGCATTTTCCAGCTTTTGTCATTAACATTGAAATCATCACTTTGAATCGACAGAATCAATATTTACATATATGTCTTAATTGATGGAATAACATCACCGTAAATTTCTATTAGAATTCTGTGACTTTCAGCTGCCGTTTTCTTCTGCTTAAAAATCAAAAGTAATGCATGTCGAAAATGCTCTTTAGGAAGCTCCATTTTTTAAATGGTATGAACGTGATGTTTACGATGTTTACTATGTCTATTGTTAGTAAACGACTAAATATCATGGAATAATATTAAAGCATTAAGAAATAATAGCTGTGATTAGAATGTCTTCGACACACTGACATTAGTGCCATCTCTTGCAAAACCCTCAAAACTAAATCACACTAATATATTCAAAATACTTTTCAGTAACACAAATACATACTTTTATAATAAATACTTCTGTCCAGCGTATAAATCGGGTTGCACCTTTATAATCAATGCCATTATGCACTCTAATAGATGGTATACCATCCATTAATTGTCCATCAATAGGACTTTTAACACTGATAACAAAAGAAAGCTGTATATTTAATGTGTTTAATAGTGAAGTAAGAGAAAAGAAGAGAGTTCTAATATTACATAAATATATTAATATATTGCATATTGAAAGATTTATTCTCGCGCACGCGTAAGTGCGTGCGTATGAGAAAGAGAAAAAAAGAAATAGAAGAAGAAGGAGATAGAGGAGGGGAGAAAGAGGGGGAGAAAGAGAGAGAGAAGGAAATAAGAAAAAAATCGAAGAAGAGTAAGAAAGAAAAGAGGGAAGAAAGAAATAAGTATTGGCAAAGTTTGTGCAGATATCTTAAGTATAATAATAATGATTAAAATTTATCAAAAGAATTTACCTCAGATTAAACAGCATATCATTATCGACCCACTTTATGTTTACAACTTCATCCGGTTCCAACGCTCCCTGTCGTCCACAACCGATTGAAAAATCTTGCATATTTTTTAGAGCAGCTTTCAAAGCTTCCATTTTCTCTGGCATTATTTCTACCATTAATCCGTCCTCAACAATACTGGATTTGGCAGAAAGACCCAGGGAAGATTTTAGAGCACCATTGATGACGATGAAACTGGCGCCGGTTACTACATAATAGAAAAACGATTTTCTTTACATATCATTATATCAATTGCTTATAAATCTCCTACCTGTTCTTGGCTTGTTGTGAATGTTTATCGCTTGCGTTTGATAACTGCTCTCGTCACCAGTATTTGTTTGTATGCAAACTAAATGTGAATCAGCGGTTATACTAAAATTTGAGGCATAAGCTAAGACGTGATCGTTCGAATTATGGAGTCCTTTTATGACTTGGTCGTATCGATTTCTGGGAAACATAACGTCCGTTGTACGATTTTTAAGGTGAATTGTTAAGCCCCTCACTCCTGGCAAAGTATATCCGAAATTTCTAAAATCTGCTAATACTTTCATAACAGTATGTCCAATCTCAAAATATAACGCATTTCGAAAACGAACAGATACTAATGGGCAAGGATAATAACGATATTCCGCTCCAAGACGTAAAAGTAGCCTCAATGGAAATATTTTAGCCCATGGAGTTTCCCACCTAAAATGAATAGATACAAGTGAAATTACAATCGTCAAATAGATGGCATCATACAAAATAAATTGCAGAATACGTAGGTCTGTTCGTCATAAAAATTCAATATTACTTACAAGAGCAGCCCCAGAAGTATTCGAATTTTTCGATAACAATTTTTTTAGTGATAATTCTTGATGCCAAAAAAATACATGTTGCGACGTTCATTAATATGCGGCTTTGTTTTCGAGTTATGAATTTTTGAAAATCCGAAGAATTGAACGATTCGTATTCGAGGTTCGTCAACTTTCTCTTTTTCTTTAAAATACGTGTTCTGTTGTATTTGTTACTTCTTTCAAACAATTAGAACCGATATCATAATATTTTCTACAAAAACAATATTAAAGTATTTCTAAATGGTTAAAAAATTAGTTTCGCATACAAAAATTATTAATGACACGTATGCTTCGAGATAACGAAGTCTCGAAACGATCTATTTATTGAAAAAAAAATTTTTTCTAAACGTTTCCTTACAAGTTTTCCTTGAAAAGCGCAATTTGAATTTTTCGGATTTTTAAAAATTTATAACACAAAAACAAGTCACATGTTGATAAACATGCGACACGTATTTCTTTTTACTCAAGAATAACAAAAAAAATTGATATTGATAAACTCGATGAACTCTTCAGGAGCATCTTGTTATATCAAAATAGAAATTATATAGGAATTTTATTCTAAATTCAAGTTAAAACATTAAACTTTATGTATTTAGAACTGTGCAAGTATGACAATTATTAACAATCCTAAAGACAGTTTAATGAAGAATTCATAAGCAAACAAATAAAATACAATACTCTCCATAAATTTGGGAATACTCTACATTTTACAGGTTTGTAAATAATTATTTAATTGAAAAAAGACAAAATAAAAGTACATACATACATACGTTATCTATAATAACATGCTATCAAAATATGGAATTGTAATGAAAATGTACAATTTTTGAGAGTCTGAAATCAACTTGCGAATCAAATAGTTTACCATTTTTATAGAAACCGTTAAATTACAATTAAACCTGTGATGTGTATATACAATGAACGCAAGTACGATGGTGCAAACAAGTGATAATATACAATATAAACAATAGACTAAAGCGCAAAAAAAACCTTGAGCGTTCCGATGCTGAAATGATTATCCGACATATTTTCGGCATGTACAAGCTTATAGATGTTCTAGATAAAAATGTTTATCGTCATTTAGACACCTTACGACGTATTTAAATTAAAAACATGCATAGATCGCTGTCATGTAATGGTTTTCCTGTAAAACATAGGGTGTTCCTAAACTTATGGAGAGTACTGTATACATATAAGTAGTACTGTCTGGAAAAATGGGGCTGTGATTGGTCGATGGATGAAGGGTGGGGGTAATAGGGTAATTAAATAGTGCGTTCTGATTGGTTCGCTCTATAGTTGCCAAAGATCAGATTGGCTGGCTCCATACCTTCCCACAAAGTGATTGGAAAGGGGAGTGGTAGAGGACCTCCAACAAAATGGTGGGTGAAGTCCGAAAAAATGGTGAGTGGAGATTGGGACCGCAACATTGTTTTTGTCATAGGGAGGAGGACAAGGTACGAACAGAGGAGATGAATAACAGATAGTTTTATGGTGGTCATTTTTTGTTGGTACGACTCGATACCTCCGATGTACTGACGTTTTAGTGAAAGTGTTTTTATTATTTATGATGGGATCTGTTACGAAAATTTTCGAGTCTAGGAGACTCTTTTGTTTGGAGGAAATAGGAGGTAAAACAGGAACGAACATGTTTGACTGACGTGGCGCGATGTCATCAAGCATTACTTAAAAAAAAAATTCTTTTTATTTTATGTATCCAATGTACATTATTTAAACCTGAAATACGAGAGAAAATTATCTATTGTAAAGGGATCGAGGCTAGGAGTAAGAAACAGACGAAATTTACAAGTTCAAAAAGATTTTTATTTTTAAAAAGAGATGTTACATAATATAGTTATTTTACTTTTTTGAAAGAGTACACGATTGAACATGACGGCATACAGTATGTGAATTTATGAATTTATGTTTACAATGAAGAAAAAATTTATGAAATAACTGTACGATCAATCGGTCATTGTGTTTACAATCAGAGGTAAACAGACTAAGAAACTAGCAAAGATTATAACCATTACACATAAAATATCTGGAGACACGATAGTGTCTCGGCGCCAAGCCAAGCGCAGCGATACTGCCTCCTTTACGCGAACCGACGAGTTGCGGCAGACTGAGACAATCGGATCTCGGTAACGGCTAAACTGATCAGGTTCTATATATGCTCAATCGATAGGCACTACATGGATTGTATGATAAAAGTGCTTTTATTTTTTTTCTACGTGTCCTACGAGCGGAGATATCACGACGCAAAGTTCCGAACTGCTACTTTTTCAGATTCAGATATGTCGTTATTATTATCGTCATTGTCGTCGTCGACCACATATACGGGGAGAGGATAATCCTTTTGCACCGCCTGGCACTAGATGGCGGTAGAGGCACTCGGATGCCTGCACATTCCACTTGATGTAAGGAGGCCCGCGGCGGTGTGCGGTGCGCGGGACGTTTGCCAGGCAGTCCCTCGTGCACCAAGCTATTGATACGATGTGACGCGCACGCGGCGCAAATTATTAATTAAAATTAAAATGAAATATCGAGATTGTCGTTGAATTGAATAATCCATCTAAGTATTTATAGCGTTGAGGAAGAGGGTGTCTAGATGTTCACCGTCGAGAAATTAAGCGTCTGGATGTTCGTCGTCGAGGAATTAAGTGTCTAGATATTTGCTGTCGAAGAAGTGGGTGTCTAGGTGTTCGCTATTGAGGAAACGGGTGTCTAGAAGTTCGCTATTGAGGAAATGAATGTCTAGGTGTTCACCATCGAGGAAGTGGGTGTCTAGGTGTTGGCCGTCGAGGAATTAAGTGTCTAGGTGTTGTCTACAGGTTCGCTGTCGAGGAAGTTGGTGTCTAGTTCGCCATCGAGGAAATGAGTGTCTAGGTTTTCACCGTCGAGGAAGTGGGTGTCTAAGTGTTCGCCGTCGAGGAAGTGGGTGTCTAGGTGTTCGCTATTAAGGAAACGGGTGTCTAGGTGTTCGCTATTGAGGAAATGAGTGTCTAGGTGTTCGCCATCGAGGAAGTGGGTGTCTAGGTGTTCGCCGTCGAGGAATTAGGTATCTAGGTGTTGTCTACATGTTCGCTGTCGAGGAAGTGGGTGTCTAGGTTATACTATATTGAAACCTAATATCATAAAACCTAAATGATAAGTGGGTGCTTCCTATTTGATGACACAAATCGACACAAGTTGATACAAGTGTTGTCCTATCTTTGTCACTCTCTGAATGTCAAGAAG